GTGTTTGTGAGAGAGAGTGCGCATGCGCGCGGCGGACACGGAAGCACGGCTGGGAGTAAACGGCGTGAGCCTGAGAAATTAATGAATAAGAATGAAAAGTGTGGCGTATGAGCAGTGACCGAGTGATCAAAGCTGGATACAAGTGAATGTTGGTGTGTTCTGGCCACAAACCAAAATGTGACTCTTGAATAACATTCTGAAGCGTGATTGGAATAGCACCACACTGTGACAGCGAGGGTCAAAGCAGAAGGGAGTTCTCTTCGTAGGAAATGCTACACTTCGACCCTGGACGAACAAATTTTCCCTGCGCCCCTCGACCACGGTCGGGGGACATCACAGCGGGCACAACAGGAAGAATTAATGTGACGCACAATATCACGTCCCCATCACACCTCATCCCCCACTCCTCACAACCCGCCACATTGACCCCCCTCATCGGCTTTGCAAGCGTGGTCAGGCCCGCCTATTTCAACTGTGCCCAAGCACATTTGCTGCAACTGTGCCCGAGCCCACTTGCTGCGGTCACACGGAATATAAAGCCTGGATCTTTAGGTTGTGCTTTTGACCACAGCCTAAGGCCAAGCTATTGGGAGCCACCTTGTGAGAAAGATGGTCCTAATACATGCAGGTCCCTTTATCTAACTTTGCCTTAGCACTCAACATACAGTATGTCAAGTGAGTGTGTGTGTGTGTGTGTGTGTGTGTGTGTGTGTGTGTGTGTGTGTGTGTGCGTGTGCGTGTATGTATGAGTGCGTGTGCATGTGAGAGAGGATATTTGCATAAAAATGTATGTATTGAAAATGTGATGATTTTGAGGAGACCCCAGGAAGCACCTCAGTGGTTAATGGGGATCTTAATAAACAAAACAAAACAAACAAACAGCAATAGTAAATAAAACTGCTTTGCTTTACTTCATACTGTAAAAGCACATCTTGGCAAATCTAATCATGTAACTTCCTATTTCATTTTCACACTCACCTCATGCTCAACTGTAGCAGCACAAGTCATTTCATTTCCACAACGCAATTAAACGCACCATGTTTCCTGCCTGTGCCTCATGTAACCAAAACAAAACAAGGAAACACGTGCGGCAACAAATTGAGTGAGTCAGCCATAGGCGTCCAAACACATACATTTATAATACATACATGGCTTTAAGTGCTTAGTAGCCTGGCCTTAGCCATCCGTAAACTTCTGTCAATTATTATTTCCCGACAAAAAGAAATGTGTAAAATGGTGTAGTAAGAGCAGGCTAGGTGCTCGGTCAGTTGGATCAATACATTATAATGAATAATCATACTAAATGGAAAAAATTATGTATTGATCTGTTATACTTGGATTAAATATCAGGAATGGTGAGAAATTATTCAAAAATATTGCTGTCATAAACAATTTAACCCCCATCAGTGTGATTTCATTTGGAATTCTTGTATTTCTCTTTGGAACAGGAACATGGTGTTTATCATTCCCGACCTTTGTCTCTCCATTCTCTTGTATTGACGTCTCCATGTCTCTATTGATCCACTGAAACCTTTTGTCCATCTTTCAGATATGCTCAGGCTTGTCAGAACAGGCCATCCTCTCTCGCATGTCAAGTGCGCTTTAGTCATTGACAAACTTTGGTCTTTTTACTTCAATCCTGACACTAAATGTTAGTAAACTTTAAAGCATAGATAACAAAAATTGATATCACAATGGAGAAATGAACTTGTCACATTTGGCATGAATAGTCAATTAAGGTGCGCAAAAAGACCAATAATGCAAACTGCAGGAACTACATAAAACATTTATTTGATATAATTTAACCTTTATTTATCTAGGAAAGTCTTATTGAGAATAAGAACCATTCTTTTACTTAAAGTTATCTAATAACTAGTAATATAATTTTCCCATAAGTTCTGGAAAACTCTGGTGGCTAAAGGGTGAATGATGATTTATTGAAGCCGCAATGTTGAACTATAAATAAGAGCGACTGAACAAAGTAGATTTTTCATAATAGGTGCCCTTTAATGTTGACAATCATAGAGCCATGTTTGGAATCAATAACTACAGAAAAACAGCCTTACTTACTGTAACTGCTGTGAATGTCAGACCAGAACACTTACCGATAATGCCAGGGTGTGATGAGGGTGGCTGGGGTGAATGGATGAATGGTTCTGATTGGACAATACTGCTGAGTTCAGAGGAGAAGGACGCAAAGAGGTTTCCATTGCGGCTCAGTGGGGATGCCAGTTTTATCTGTTGGACAAGAACTGACATTCAGACGCAATCTACTGAAAACATAGAAAATAGGATTGTGCTTGTCTCAAGTATTTTTTAATCGAGCACTTAACATGATTTGCCAATGAGACAAGCAGTTTAGTCTCAAGTACAGTTGCTATTTATTCTCCATTCTGAGGGAGTTTCATTTAAAATAAGACATTTTTGCTTGTCCCATTGTCTCATTTTAAGACAAAACTTAATAAAATAGATACATTTATATGACTTAACTTTTCTTTTTGCCACTTTTTTGCAGTGTTTCAAAATTAAATTGTGATCCCTACAGAAGTAAGTCTGATGCAGATGGTTTGACCAGACTGGTCAACTGTTTTGAGGGGGTTTGGGGCAATTTAACACATGTATTTCTTATTTCAAGTATGAAGATAAGCAACAACAAAACATCTCTTTACAAATGTCACCTTAGACTACTTTTGGATAGTTGGATGAAGTCCCCGAGTCGGAGGCGGAGTGACACGACTCTCTCATTCCCCAGGCAGCTGAGATGTGTAGGGTTCCATGTCCAAACCGGTCGTTGAGGTCTCCGCCCACTCCTCTTGGTAGCATCCCGCCATGGATCCCTTTGTGGATGGCCTTCTGTGTCCAGGGGCTGAGTCCAGCTGGGTGCCGTGGGTCAATGACTTTAAACAACTCTTTACAAACAAAACATTCCAGTGAATTCATGTTAGACTGATACACCATAAATAGGAGCTGTCCCAGTGTTCGTAGACATTTGTCCTTGGCATCAGACGACGACCCTCTGCAGAGCATTTGAGCGTCTTTTTAGCAGAGACAAAGGGGCGTATGATGCGTTTGCACTCACCCCGCTGGCTTTGGAACATTGTGTTGTGTTGGCTGAGCAGCAGTGTCTCTTCATGTTGTTTACCTCCTTATCTGGCACTTTCTGCCTGGTCTCACCTCTCCAGTCTTGCCTCAGTTGATTGACAGCTCAGCAGGTAAACCACAGCTCTTGCCTTCTGTTTATCAAATGTGTTTTAGAAACCTGGAGAATCTGTCACACACCAGCAGCACTGGCAACTCAACCCTAGGCGCATGACACAATATATTTATCTCTTGCTTTTCTACTGGTAAATGATGATAATACAAAATAGTTAAAATAACAGTGAAGCAAGAGAACCCAAACAGAAACAGATTTTTAAAAGATGAAAATACTGCAACTATTACAGAATTCAATGACCCTTTCAATTATCTACAGTAAAAGTATGAGACAAATAGATGAGGATCCATTATTACAAAGAGAATGTACAATGTAAACATTACTGTTCATAAAACATGGTTTACAAGAAAACCATTGAAGGTTCACTGGTTTACTGTTGGGATCTGCAGCAACAGTGTATTTGCTTTAAAATCTACGCCTAAGGAATTGTGATGGGCACTGCTGCTGTGCATCTTTTCTCCTCTACTTAGAACACACTAATTTTCATTCTTGGGAGAAAATACAAATGAAAAAAATATTAATATCCATCCATCCATCCATTTTCTACCCTTTAATCCATTTCTGGGTCAGGGGGGTGGCAGTCAGAGATGCCACCCAAGTCTCATAGCACCAGCCCCTCACTGACCCTCTGCAGGTGGTGAGTCCACAGGAGGACGGCTGCTCTCTGAGTGTGAGCATAGCCTTGATCTTTCAGTGGGGGCTTCAGGCAAAGTGGGGTTAAGTGTCTTGCCCAAGGACACAACGACAGCAGTCATCAGTGGGAGTCGGTGGAGAAGGTGCAGAGGTGGGAATTGAACCCACGACCTTCTGGGCTTAAGGCCAATGCTCTACCAACTGAGCTACTGTCGTAAAAAATATTAATATTGAGGAAATATTTATTTTGGCATAATTGCTCCCTCACTTAAACATATTATTCTGCTCTTTTGGCGTTATAATCAGGGTGACATACCTGTTTTGACCTGTTTTAAAAGCACATCTCCCTACACATGGGGTCTAGATATTGAGCAGTAAATGAGCGATTGACTACAAAAATATTGGACTGCCAGTTTTTTTGTGTGCTTGGATGATCCAAGGAGATATGTTGCCTGGGGCTTTATGGCCCTAATAGAGTTTTTCATGGCAAACCGTGCGTCATCTCAATGAACCTTACATGAGTAGAGTGACGTCGCCCGGTAAGGCCTAGCCGGTGCCCCACCCTAGAGCCAGGACTGAGGTTTGGGTGAACACCTGGCTCCAGGTCTTTGTCCATGTGGACCGGCCAGACTTAGCCCTTAAGGACAATGTGGGCCTGCAACCCCATGAACTCACCACCGCCGGAGGGACTCAAGGTGGCTGGGTGCACCGAGTCCTGGGTGTACCGAGTCCTGGGTGTTGGCCGTCTATGCACGCAGGTTCTGAGTCCTTTCCTATTTCTAACAATAATATGTTATCAGTGTAAATGTTCTGGGATGTGGTGTGGTGCGCGTGTGCAAGGAAGTATTAGTATAAATGACCTTAAATGCAACATGTGTGCAAGTGTAAAAGCTGGCAGCGTGGCAGGGGAAGTGTGTGGACACAGACCCTCTTAGCCAGGTCCAGGTGTCTGCCATGACAAAGAGTGAGAGCCTGTGCATTCTGGGCTGGCAACCAGCCAATTAGCAGGACCAACAATTTTACAGAAGGTTAAAAACACCAAGGGAGGAGTTGGAGCAATTTTTGCTTTCATAACATATATTCTGCACTTCAGTAGCCATGTGACAAACTTTCATAACTCGCTCAAGAGCATTTTGTTCTGTGGTCCTTGTAGGTCCTTGATGCGCGCGCTGCCATATGCCATTACCTGGATGACAACAGCTGTTCGGCTCTCATCATCCTGGGATTCGTCATGATGTCGCCGCTGGTCGTCGTGGCAGCAGCAGTGTTTTGTGGGCTTCTCAGAAAATTCCGTCTCCTGTTTTGCATTCAACCCATCTCCAGAGCCTGGTACAGGGGCCGGCTGCTGGACTGGGCCACCAATGTCCACGCCTGGGTCTGATGGACAAGTGCTCATTTCAAGACACACAAATGACTCAATGACGGTAGATAGACCAAATATTCAGTATGTATCAAGTGTTGCTTCATGTGGTCTGGTTTACTGTATGTGTCCAACTTCCCCAAATAGGAAGGCAGAACTAAAGTATGTACTCAATATTGGAATTATTACAAAAGCAATGGTTTCAGACTGACCAAAAGTACTGTCACGTAATTGATATTAAAGCTGCACTTACTTAATTTGTGAAATTTTCGAATGTGAGCGCTGGCCTTGCTCTTTCTGCTCGCACTCCCCGCACCCACGAAGCTATTGCTCGTTTACGGAGCTCACGTCTTACAATATGGATCACACATTTGAACGTGGATGGCGTGACCATAGAATGATAGAACGCGGAGGAACGAGACTTACCTTTGGATGGCTGTTTCGCTGTGTAAACAGTAACCGGTAGCGAAGACACGGCAAGCTTCAGGTTAGCCTCCGCCGCTTGTTTACCTCAGCTGTCTGTGCTAACGAGAGACTTCTAGTTTTTCTCAAGAAAGTGGGGGCCAATGGTCCGCTGTGATTAGTCACAATCTGGTCCCGCAACAAATTCTCTTCCTTGTTGCACGAAAACTTGATCTAAAATAGAATGACACGCCAGCACAAATCTGCGCTACGTTTTCTTCAAAAGGACGTATATCTCAATGCACTGCATGGATTAGGATTGAAAATAAAGTGAGGTGATGCAGTTTTAATGAAGACCATTCATTGTTCAGAACTGACCATTGTTCTCTCAACAGAACAATGAGTACCGGTAGATTCAATTGAGATAAAAATAATGTATCTCTTGTTCTGTGTAGAGTTGCTATGAGCTGTTATTTTGTCTTCTACTGTGCATGACCTGATGTTTTTGGTTATTATAAAAGTAGCCTCTCGTCTCTGGACTGATTTAATTTTGTAGATACTGTATGTGATATAGAAATACACATATACTGTTTAAAGCCTGTTATGGGTAGTGTTGCTAACTTGCTGTAAGTATGTGTATTTATTTTAAATAAAATACATTTGTTTCAGACAGACTAACAAAGATGTCCTGTTTCTGGTCAGACACATTAGCAGCTTCTGTAGTGAATCTAATGTCTTTGGGAAAACATGCTGTTTGAATGTAAGTAAGTAAGTAAGCTTTTATTTATATACCGCCTTTTCACTGCACATCGGAGTCTCAAAGCGGTTTACAATTGTTATTTTGATTTGAATTGTAGATTGATTCACATCTCACACAGAAGTGGCATTATTTTAAACGTGGTTGTCAGTGCGCTATGTGCCAAAACACAACACTATGCACCAAATGACATACAGTAACATACAACAATAATATGGCTTATTTCCATCACGTAGAGAATCCAAACAGTGTTAGACTTTGGCGCCTTTAGAATGTGTTGACCATTTGCTGTTTTCACACGAGACGTCCACCCAGACATACTCCGGGCAGTTTTTTGATTCGTACTGTGCAGTGCAGTTAAAGTGACGGTCATCAATGATGAGTTATGAAGTGTTCATGAGTACGAATGTAAGAAATTGTTCTTAAAGGTAGAGCAAAGGAAGGTTTCTCACCCATCATCTGTACTTCTTAGCAAGTTTTCCTGTTTTACTGCCATCTAGCGTGGAGATCAGATATTGCAGTCCAGGGTACTACGGAAGCCTTCAATAGACAATATGTCGTCTTTGACATTGCTTCTCAACTCTCAGTCATTCACCGTCAGTCGCGTGGAGGCGACATGTAAACAATGTCGCGTCCTGAAGCGGCACCAGCTGCACAGAGGCTCTACTGAGTTTTACCATGGATCTATAACATATAGTTTTACAAACGCGCTGTGAAAAGAAGAGACACATGGAGGATTAACGTCTGCGGGAGCTTTAAACTACGACGATCTGAGAAGCAGGACATATACACAGCCACGGCAGGACATAGCTAAAAGCTCATGTTATTATTAGCTTTAGCCACAGTGCCCTATCTGCATCACGGTAAGAAACAAAACATTCACTCACACTGCTGATGAATATTCTGGCAATTGTTTTGTGGGGATTCTGTGTGTTTTGCATATTTAGAATAAGTTTAGTTGAACTGCGTGCAGATTCTGCCTCGTTCTCATCACTGTTGGTGTGAACTACTGTCAGCATGAAGAAAGTTACGAATTGTTTACTTGTGAGTCTGTTGTAGCCTGGTCGTACCACACCGTAGTACAAATTACATCTCCCACTGAGGTCTGGAGGTGCTCCAATGAGCTCCGTTAACAGGTGGGAGGGGTTACCTCCTTTTGCAGATTGAAACGATGGGATCTGAGTTTACCGTGAGGTATGTAATCCCGGGGGATCGCCGGGGCTTGGACTTCACAGAGACCGAAAGATTAGCAGAACTCGCCTATATTTGGGCATCGTCTGGTCCTCCCGGTTCTGCGCAGTGGATGAATGATGCGTTGTGACAAATACGCGTGTGTGGCTCTCATGCACGTGCACAGAGGGGCTCGGCCGCGGTCTGACCAATCAGCGCTGCCGCTGATCAGAGCAGCGGTAGAGCGGAGCCAGAGCGGGAAGGAAAACAGCAGAGTTTGTGGTAGTAAAGTGTGGATTTAAAGAAAACCAATGGAATTAAGAGGAAAAAAGTTCAGGATGACAAGGGACACTAAAATCCCCACAAAATTCCATCTTTATGAAAGCTGTAGGTTCTCTGTCAGCTGAGGTTGAGCTGTTTTAGTTTATATTGAGTTCTATGGAACTTTTTTCTGGGTAGTCCACGCAAATTTAGTCCGCAGTACCACGGGCGCCCCCTGTGCCCATGGGCGGGACAGCTATAAGCTAGTAATACCCTATCCAGTTATTATTATAGATCCATGGACCAGACCCAGACGTTACATGCAGGGAAGTGCACTGATGGACAAAGCCAGGCTAAGTCTGTTGTGTACAAACTACACAATGTGCCTCGTGTTGTTACAATTCTGTCTTTCGGTGCGTGTGGTTTGTGATGCTGGCACTTTGCTGCTACGACGCCGGACTTTTGCATAATTATTTTTCGAAAAGATTGTTGTTCGGGTCGTTCTTACACATAACTAAGGTCCTCCATTCTTCTTTTACATAACAGTGGTCTGCCATGGTTCCTTCTTCAAACTTGTGAGGGTGAAAGCATTGATATCAATGGCTCATGTAAAACAAAAACGCGTATTTCAAGATGGCGCATTGACATGGATAGTACTTTGCTCTCAGACATTTATAAGTTAAATTCTAAGCCTATGAAAACAATTTAAAAAACATGGTGGAGGTAAATATTCTTAAAAAGGTCGCATTTGTTATTAGTTAACATGTTTTTTAATATGGAGCAACTGTAAAAATGACATAGGGTGGCTTTGAGGTGGGAGGTTCTGGTCCAAATGGACCCTAGCCTGAGCGAGTGGTTGGAATGGTCCATGTGCAGGGTGAGAGGGGTCAGCGGTGATATGACCAGCCCGCCCTCGAGCTCGGGCGACGTACAGGTGCTCCAGCATTGAAAGGCTGCGGCCAATCACGCACACACCAGACTCAATCAAGGCAATGTGGAAGAAGTGTTTGCTGATTGTCTGACTGATGATGACATTTTCTGACTGTCCCAATGTGTCTCACAACACAAACCGCGTTTCCACTGCAGGAACTTTGGGATAATTTTCCAGGGCCAGCCCCGTCGGTGCGTGTCTCCACTGCAGGAACTTCCCCACGGGGCCATTTACAGGAACTTTTACGGGGCCCAACGGAGTCCCCCCTCCATGCTAGGTACTCTGTTGGGCCCTGGTGGGACTTGAGGTTAACTCGGCGCTGATTGGCTAAAGCTAGTGTAACCCTTGACTCACGTTAGTGTAGGTAAGGTGAAATTAAAAGTATAGACCAGATGCTAGGTACAAAAGGATTACAATAGGAACAAAGGTGAATGCGTACTGAAATGGCAGGAGGCAACAAACAATTTAGAGAAAAGGTTATTTAGTAAACAAATTAAAATAAAGCAGTGTTTAACAATGAGCATTGCCAGCATATGCAAAACAAAAAAATTATATCCCCAGTCCCATTGAGCTCAGTTAGTCTTTTATGCGTTGTAGTCAAGTCAATTTTCTTTATAGTTCAGTTCTTTTCCTTTACAGTGGTTATTTAAGGTGTTACCACTCGGCACTTAGGAAAGATGGTGGTTTAAACTTGAATCCAGTTCTGGGCACAGGCTCGCCATCTCCATCCGGAGAGAATCCAGGGAATCCATCCAGGTTTTCTTAACCATGAAAAACTAGCCTGCACAACAATAATGGTATTATTGTTTACAGCTGTTATCCTATCTCTGCTATAGCTTTATATTTTTCCTTATCATCATATTACAAAGTATACATTAATAGTTTACATGCTTTCAACAATCCTTTTGTATCAAATGAAAGTTTTTAATCCTTGTAAAACAAATGTATTTATCACTTTATCCTTTTGTAAACAGTTATTCAACCATAACATTGTGATTAAATATTTTTAACAATTACAATGTAAGTTTTTAAATGAATTTGTGTAAGCTCTCAGTCGTACAGGGATTAGTCAAAGCAAAGGAAGGTTTCTCACCCATCGTCTGTACTTCTTAGCAGGTTTTCCCGACGTTTTGTCCTTCACCTAAAGGACTTTTCAAGGGAATGAAATCTCAGACTGCGCATTGGAGATTTTTAACCTATGGGTGTGGTTAGCCACACCCTAATCCTGATGATAACTCATTAACAAACTTTTTATGAATTTTAACTTTTTGTAACTCATAAAATGAATTATACTAATGAATTCAGATATTCTACTCAAAAATCAACCATTAAATCAGCAAAACCATATCTACTAGGTTTAGCATAACAGAAGAATTACTGTTCACTTATAATAAACCATCAAACTGTGCAATCAACTTCAAAATATAATTTACATTGGACCAAAAATAGTACGAAAATAAACAAAAGATCTTCTCAGTATTGTTATGAACTACCATAGAATATGGTAGAAACCATATTAGAACCAAAAATAGCATATCTGTGGGAAAGTGAACTTTTAGCAAGGAATTTTAACCGCTTTTATTTTTGTGCTTTGTGTATTTTGGTGTGTTTTTATGTTTTTATGCATGCATTTTAATCACGGTTCCTTGGACACTTCCCCTAATTACCCACAACTGTTTGTAATCTGACCATGAATTGGGGGCGGGCACCGCAGAACGGAGACAGAGAGGGACGAGATGAGGAAGACGAAGGAGGACGAGTGGACTGCGAGTTTTTATCTTCTTTTTAAGGGATCCTTTTGTACATATTTTATTAAATTTTATTCTCTTTTTAACCTTTTTGCCTTTTTATTGATCACACCCCCTCAACGGACTCTTTTAACCTGTGACATATACATTGCTTTCAAACAAAAAAAAACGCACTCATCAGCATCGCGCCAATATTAGCATTGCGGTAGCACGTTTTTCTAACCCTCAATGCATGGACTTACCAAGATGAGGTATCGTGAGGAACACAGCAAGGACACAACAACACAGACTCTCCAGCTTGTGCTCCTTCCACTTCATACAACAAACATTCCCAATCAACAAAAAGACAATTTAAATGTCAACCCATAGATTTTAGCGCGGACCGTCTACAGCCTGTCTCGCTCATTAAGACCGAAAACTATCGAAAGATCCAGTCCGCCATTAGGGGGGCGGCACAAAAACCTCTTTTAACCAATCACAAGGTCATTATCACTCAACATCACCGCGAAACAGGAAAATAAAGTTTTAACGAGAGGATCACATTTCCTCTTTTTGAAATAAAGGTACATAACATACACATAAATACAGAAAGAGAAAATTACCCATTTTATTTACTGGGTTACACCAGCGCAAGCTCTGACGCCAGCAGAAAGCAGCAAAACAACCGGCATTCGGCAGCATTAGCCCGGCAGCATTAGCCCAGCAGACACAACTGGAAACAGCGAACAACAACACGGTGATTCAGGTTTGAGGCATTGCGGCGAAATGAAAAGGTAAGACACATCAGCTTCACCTCAAAATACTGAGGATTCATTACACTCTAAAACAAGTTTTGAAAAGTTTTATAAAACTGAAGCAGGGCTATAAAAAAACTCAAAGACCACAACAAACAGAGCGTTACGACCGTAAAATAAACAAATGGGTTTGGCTTAAAGAGTTGCACTTATGCGACAATCAAAACTCCTGACATTGCAAAGTGGTCCTACTCTGCAGTGGAGACACGGAGACTGACAGCTAATTTACACAGGACGCGTTACGGCCAGTGGGGGAGGGTTTCGGCTCAAAAGTGGCCAAAATGACGTTCGCTGACATGCTTGCAATACCACCCCGGGCCGATGGGGGTGGACCCAGAAGTAGAATTAGCCAATGCTAACATATAGCATTGGTAGACCTCTCGAAAACACCTTTACAGGATGGTCCAAAAGTTGGCTCTTGACCCAAAGCTCTGTTCCACATGTGTGTCAATGCTGAGGGGGGTGAATTTTTTTGGACCACTCTAGTTTATTCGCTGTGAATTTTTGAAGTCTCTCGTTCAAATGAATGGAGCTCTCGCCAGCTGACACATGCGCAGATGCGTTTTTTCACAATTTTCTTGTGGGCGGGACCACTCACGGCCATTTTGGATAACTCCAGTAGAGCCATAATACATCCATGCCGCAGACAGATACACTTGGTACGGAGGCGTGTCGAGTAGTACCCGACACGCCTACTACACGTTTCTTAAAGGGGTATGAGCATGGATCTGTTATAATACGGGTAGAGTAGTAAGTACCTTCTATCTATGCCCAATAATGAATTTTATGGTGCATGTCATTGTCATCATTATTTATTGGGGGGAAATGGACGAATTTTGTAAATATCAAAGTAGTAAATTTGCCTACAAAAGCTGCCATTACTTCAGACTACTTCAGACAATCAATAGGATTTGAAGCGGCTCCGGACAAAAGTTAAGTTAAGAGTCAAATAATGTCAGTGCTTATGTCTAATGTGTACATTCATTTATAAAAGGGGCCTATGGTTGGTGACTCAAATCCTGGCTGCCCTAAGTGCAGTCTGGTATGTTCTTGAGCAATGCACTTCACCCACATGTGTGGACATAGTGAGAGACTGCTTGGTGGTGGCCATTAGCACAGATTAGTAGCCTGGCATCCTCCAACCCAGCTGTGACACACTGTGTGGAATAAATGAATAAAGACTACAGTGTGTGGTTTTGAAAAACTTGTCACAGGATTGAAAAGCGCATTACAAGTTAAAGCTATTATTACACCACCACCACCACACACTCCTACACCCATGGTCTCCACATTACTGATCATAAAGAGCAGACATTCATTATTATTGTGTTTTGTCAAATATGTAGAAGAGAGAGATTAAACATCAAGAACAGCTTATTGTTATCTGGCATTTTATGTACAGTACATGCTTTTTTATGAATTTGTGTTATGTGAATGGCTCTGAAATGTAGACACTGAATAAGTTCTACACAAAACAAATTGCAACCACATTTTTTTTGTTTAAATTTTAATCTTGAGAGAAAGGCTTCAGAAGAGAGCGCTAATCTCCATCTTTCTTCAAATGCTTTCAGCTTCCCTGCTGCCTCCTCCGGTAAATGTCTCACCAGGGCATCCACAATCAATTTAAACTCACTGTCCAAAAAGAACAATCACGGATTAGATGTTGCAGTGAACATTGAATTATGTCCATCAATATTTAAAATAATCTTACCATGGTTCATACTTTGGCCCCTTTTTGAATTTTCCAATTTCCTCTTGCAATGGAGGTGAAATGCCTCGGCCAGAGTGTGAACTGTCACCTAGATAAGAGTGAAATGTGTTACATTCAACAACAACAGTTCACAAAACCAAATGCAGCCCTAAAAGGTGTTGTGTCCTGTTTAATAAAGTGTCAGTGACTTGCTCATATGACTTTATGGTCTCTGTACATCAACAATGTTGCAATGCAGACTTATTTTTAGTAGTGTACATCCAGGAAACATGTACCATGAGATGTTTATGTTTGAGGGGGATCAGTGTTTGTTTTATGCACACTTTCATTACAATAGTCCCTGTGCCAGCCTGGTGGCGCTCGGGCCTACTAATGTAAAACAAACATTATGTTAATCATGCTATACTTCCGGTACGAGCACATTCATGACGACGTCAATCCAGTCGTTCTGCTGTCATGCTCTTGGGGTCTCCCTGATGACGGCAAACAAGAAGGAGACAACCTCATCCAGTTGCTCGTCCTCAAAGTAAAGGGTTGGCCTCTCCCTCCTGGATGTCCATGTTGAAACAAGGTCCCCAGTTATGATAGCCTGAAAAAGAATAGTTACATTAGAGGATGGAGATGGTCATTATTGATAGTAATAACCATATTAACAGTATGACTAAAATGACAACAACAACAAAATTATTGAGAAAGCCCTTACTAAGTACATCTTCATGCTCATTACTTCACTTCATTACCTCAAGGTGTTCCCTAATTGAGCTGCTCCCCTTCATGCACTTGATCGTCAGCACACTCAGGTTGCTGCACCCGCTGTGTTTCTTTAACCGCTTTCTAAAATTTAAAAATACATTTCTCACAAATAATTTTGAAATAACGGTTGTTAATAATTATGGAGTGGCTTTTCACTATCCTCCAGTAACTCACAATTGTTCTAGCATTCGTTATTCCATAACATTATCATCAGTATCAACATTAAAATCATGACATGTGCACTTTATGTAATGTCTTATAATGTTGTCAGTCACTTACCAACTGTGTTTGCTGGACAATTTCAGTCATTTTTGCCTTGCACTGGTTGGTCATTGTCCAAGGGCGCTGCTGAAAAAGCATGCAAGTTGCTAATGTGTTCGTTCAAGGCCACTACGAATATCACTCAGTAATGATTGTGATGTCACATGTTTACATTTGTCTCTTCAGTTGGCTGTCTCTTCCTCTTCAGTCTGAAGATGGGTGAAAGACACCCATTGACTATTTGTTTTCCCTCTTTGGTGAAATGAGCAAACCGTCCTCCATGCCTGAAGAAACAAATTATAGAATCCAGAAAAGCAACTGAAACAACTTTTTTTTTGTCAAACAATTTCACAGGCTTTGGAATAAGCAACCAATAAAACATGTAATTGTCTGGTAGCAGTGTTGTTGAAGAAGATATATACACAGATATATACGCCACCATCTCCACAGTACTGGCATATGCCCTTTCATGGGTTTGCATGTGTGTGATGATCTGTGCTTCTCCATGTTTAAAACGAGTCACACACGTGAGCGTTCCCCCTGCATCAGCACTGCAGCTCCATGTCCATCACTGACAATCGAAGGATGCAACTGAAAGCAAACATAAACAGACATTTGTGCACACTCAGAAACACAAATGTCTTGTAACATCATCCAATAACTACGGTCAGTGACTTCTGTAACTGCATAATTTATAACTAATTTTCCACTGTGCTTGGAAAACATAAAAAAGGTTATGTTTTTCCTCTTTATTGCCATTTTAACGATGTAAAATGACTTGGGCAATCATGCTATGTGCCTAACGACTTGTTGATCGCACATAGTATGACTCTCAGAAGAAACCCATACGAATTGCTTTCTCTGTAATGTATTCGTAGATCCATGGTATTAGTTCACTTCTTAAAAAACATTTCTAATCAGGGTGATGTGCATTTATTCATTAATACACTGTAACTTGTGTGATGGACTAAAAATAAATAAAACACGTTGTTGGTTGTCACTTACTGTTTGCGTACGGTCTGCCATGTCTTCTCTTCAACGGATACACTTGCAGAAGTTCACGTGGTTTCAAAATTTGTGTAGTAGGCGTGTCGGGTAGTGACGTCACTATCCGACACGCCTACTACTCGATACGCCTCCGTACTGCAGGCCGCAGACAGATACACTTGCATTTTTTGGCCCATTAGTTAGAACGGCGGAGATGGGCGTGACTCTGTCCGTTAATATATACAGTCTATGGTTACAGCATGTACGCGTTGTGCGCGCAGCAGATGCGCGTAACATTTTTCCATGTTAACCAATGGTGATATTTTCACTACTAGTGTTATACGCGCGAGGCTGCACCTAATTTAGGATGGAGGATTTCTAATTTTGTGCGCGCAGCAACGCGTCTCCTACTGAAAACATATGTGAAACATGATTTTTCTAGCGGTCCTTGGCTTTAGATCGCATCTACACACACACAGCACTTGTTTCTAAACATTAGCAGGAGGAGCAGCAGGTTTTACAGTGATTCTGGACATCTTTTTTTAATTTTCTTTCATAAAGTCTCGCGTCTGGCCAAACCAGCACACAGAGACCATGAAGACAAACACATGCATGTGATTTTTGTTGCTCTACATTCCCTGTAAGAGGTTCGAGGGAGAGGAAGGTTCCTGTAAAAGTTCCACCCTGCTCCTTTTACCAGGAACTTCTGTGGTGGAAACGCGGCTATGCATGTTGCAAGTGTGATTTATTTTTGTATTATTGCAGAGTAAGTTCTAAATACATACACACATTGGAAAAACTGAGGTGTCTTTTTTTTAGAGCAAACAATTACTAATAATCATGAATGAGAACAGAATAAATGTATGACACACCATGGAACCCACAAGAGAATTGACTCATGGCAGGCTGCCCCTTGTAGTAATAAAGCATATTTGAATATCGAAAGTACAAACAAACTGAACACATAAATAATGTGTTTTTTGCATTTCATCTTGAACCTGTTTATATTGAGACGGAAATATAATATGTTATTAAATATTTACCAGGCTGCAAATGTAAACATAAAGCAAATGAAAGCTGTTCAGAAAGGCACCACCACCATCACACTGTGTATGTGACAACTAATTTAATTATCTTTATTGTATTTAGGCAAGGCAAGGCAAGTTTATTTGTATAGCACAATTCATACACAAGGCAACTCAAAGTGCTGAACAAAACAAGAAAGCATTAAAATCATAAATAATCACAGAACATTAAAAAGAACGATAAAAATATAAAATCCCTCAGTTGTATGCACAGCTAAACAGAACCGTTTTTAACCTGGTTTTAAACATTGTCAGAGAGGAGGCCTGTCTCACATCTTCAGGAAGATTGTTCCAGATTTTAGCAGCATGAATCTGAAAAGCAGCCTCCCCATGTTTAGTTCTGACTCTGGACACTAACAGGAGTCCAGTCCCTGTGCTCCTCAGAGTCCGGGCTGGTTCATATGGGACTAACATGTCACTAATATATTTTGGTGCGAGGCCATGGAGAGACTTGTACACAAGCAGAGCTGTTTTAAAGTCTATTCTCTGAGCCACAGGAAGCCAGTGCAGAGACCTGAGGACTGGACTAATGTGGTCGTACTTCCTGGTTCTAGTCAGGACTCGAGCTGATGCATTTTGAATGTACTGCAGCTGTTTTACAGCCTGTTTGGACCAGTGGGGGCGGGTCCCAGCTCAAAAGTGGCCAAAATGACGTGCGCTGACATGCTTGCAATACCACCCCGGGCCGATGGGGGTGGATCCAGAAGAAGAATTAGCCAATGCTAACATATAGCATCGGCAGACCTCTCAAAAAAAAAACGTCTTTACAGGATGGACCAAAAGTTGGCTCTTGGCCCAAAGCTCCGTTCCACATGTGTGTCAATGCTGAGGGGGGTGAATATTTTTGGTCCACTCTAGTTTACTTGATGTGAATTATTGAAGTCTCTCGTTCAAATGAATGGAGCTCTCGCCAGCTGACGCATGCGCAGATGCGTTTTTTCACAATTTTCTTGTGGGCGGGACCACTCGCGGCCATTTTGGATAGCTCCAGTAGAGCACATTTTTTGGCCCATTAGTTAGAACGGCGGAGATAGGCGTGACTCTGTCCGTTAATATCTACAGTCTATGGTTTGGACAGACCTGTGAGCAGGCCATTGCAGTAGTCTAACCTACTGGAGACAAATTTACTGTATAATTCAAAGATAAAACAGTTCTGCGTGTCAATAACATCGTCTTAACACCATCCATTAAACAAATTATTAATGGATATTGGGAAAACGCGTGGGATTTCATAAGCTTTGGCTTCTCCCTACCTCTTTTGAACATGAATAAGTGCTGCTCTTACTGTGTTGTTTTTAGTCCATGTTCAATTAAACTTTCATTAATATCTCGTGATTTCTCCAACATGTTTCTCCATATTTGCTAGCAGTGCCTCTAGTTTTCTGAATCAATGTTTGTTTTCTGTTACGCTCGTCATTTGTTCTGCCTCACAGGAATATCTATTTGAACTCACCTAATTAATAAACAATTTGCTGTAAAATAATTATACTTATTTGTTCTACTTCACTATGGAAAATTCCTCAAGGATGTAAACCAGGGCATTACACACAAAAATAGAAACATGTATTATTAAAGATGCTGTGACAATGAATAAATGTACTGAAAAATGTAAAAACAGTATTTTGGCTAGATATGCACAAACTTACAAACAAAATACATTTAATAACTAAAAACTAGAATTTGGTTAATGTCTGTGGTGATTTTACATTTGGACCGGTCCAGGGTGTCCTAATCTGGACTTCCAGGTTGTCCAAGTGTTTTCTAATTTCGATTGCACATTTTTTGGTCCTTCTTCAAGTGGAGGAGTTCAAGTATTTCGGGGTCTTGTTCATGAGTGAGGGAAGGATAGAGCGTGAGAATGACAGACGGATCGGTGCAGTGATGTGGTCACTGTATCTAACCGTTGTGGTGAAGAGGGAGGCGAAAAGAAAAGCTCTATCAATCTTCGTTCCCACCCTCACTCTTGGTCATGAGCTTTGGGTAATGAATAAAAGGACGAGATCACAAATACAAGAGCGGTCAAAATGAGCTTTGTCTAGAAATAGGGTGTGGAACTCAGTCACACGAGGAGCTCCGAGTAGAGCTGATGCTTCTCCACGTCAAGATGAACCAGTTGAGGTCACTCGGGCATCTGTTTTGGATGCCACCCGGAAACTCATGGACTTGGACCCGACCCCGGGTAAGACCCTGGATATGCTGGGGGACTCAGCTGGCCTGTGAACCTCTCGGTGCACCCCGGATGAGCTGGAGGAAGTGTGTGTGGATAGGGAAGTCTCTATTCATATTGCGCATCTCTATCCGCTGTACGTGCTGTCGGGAGGTACAGCCATTTCCTGCCAGCCTGCATATGTCCACCTGCTCACTTGGGCCTTCAGCATGTTTGTTTACCTTGTCTGTTTGTGTGTGTCGCACAACATTTCTGGTGTGTCATCCTAACTACAAAAAAGCAACTGATCATATGTGACATTTACATATGATCAGTGCATCGTCATTGAACCACTGTATTTGGAAACAATCTAGTCCTTCTTTCTGAGTGAAAAACCAGGAAAACTCAGGGGAGCGGAAACTTGTGAAAGCTCTGTGCTATGGAAAAGGTCAGTGGTGATTACTGAATTTTTGTGTGGTGACTGCAAAACTAACAGTATATATTTTCTGTCCACTGCGCCACTAGATACCGAGTCACATGGATTTAGTTGAGGAGGAAATTGTCTTCTAAAAGAAGCCCACTCGATAAAAAGCCGTCTATTGTGAAGAGACTAACAGCGCAAACGCAAGCAGGGACATTAGTCTCTGGGAGGATGGTGATGACCAGATGGTAAATAATGATGCACTAATGCTGTTTAAACTATAACGTCCTCTTTCAAGATTCATTGCAGGTAAAGTGCAATCTTAACATTTACATTTTCAGGCTGTGACGAATTGCCGTACTTTAGATTTGCATAAATTCTACATCCAGTTGAAGAATATATATATATATATATATATATATATATATATATATATTTAATTAAGATAGATTCAAACGGACCAAAATAGAGACATAACATAGTATAGTGATACCAGTGAATTCAATTTTGATCCATTTCCAAGTAATACTATGGCAAGTACTGTACTGTGATGTCGACCTCTCTCAGGTCTTGAGATGACTTGATTGATTTGGTTCGAAAAACTTGGGTGTTGGTCTACTCTACTCTCTTAACATTCCAATTCAACACCACATGCATTGGTATGAAAGACCTTAAAGGAGATATATTATGCAAAAACTACTTTTTGAAGCTTTTAATTATGTCATTGTCTTGTTCCCTCATCATAAGCAGACTTGCAGTAAATCTATTCACAATAATATCTGGAACTTCTGGCACAAACATGTAGCACAGCTCCTTCTGTCTCTTCTATGTTGTTGTACCACTACTATACTTTTAAAAGGTATTACACATAGTTTTCTGCCTTTGAAACAAAATAGTTACAGGCGAAAAGCAGCCTTCGGACTTGTTTCACTGTATATTTTATACTTAGGCTAGATATACAGTAGAAAGGCTAGATAGACCACCGATTCTGAAACATGAAAAGACAAAGGAGTCTGTATAAGTCTCTGTATCAGTTCAATGGCATGGAACGCACAATATTTCTTCTTACTGGTAAAACATAAATAATGCACAAGCATATATGGGAGCAGGAATACAACAGAACCAGGAGAGAAAAATACCCTGAGTGATGAGTTGTATATCTGTAACACTTTTTAATGGCGCTCAGCCCCAGAACCACTTCTGTATAATGGCCATAGCAAGTGATTTATTTCCTCAAGTCACACCCCCAAGACCTTATATAACCAGGGCTCTTAAAGCTTCCAGAGCTGTTATTATAGGTGCTTTCAGGTACAGAACATTGATGTGTGACTTCACCACCACAAGCGTCAATGGTTCAGCGATGCTGTAAAGTCAATGGGTATAATGGTACAACCCAACAGCAAAAACACAAATACAGCATCTGGTAATTGGTGTTCAATTACCTATTAAGTTTTACTTAAGAGGTCCCATATTATGCTTTTTGATTTTTCTCTGGTTTAAACATGATTACGGACCTGAAACCCACCGGGGGGGCCAGGCCCTGAGCCTGATACGCCAAACAAACAGCCGTGGCGACCCAGTGCGCCAGCTGCTGAGACGACAGCGGGGCGCCCCTGTTCTTGGGGCCCAGACACACAAACAGCTGATCAGCCAACCTGAAGGAATAAGTCACCGCCAGGTAACACCTAAGCATCCTGACCGGACACAGAAGGTGCCGCCGCTCCTCCTCCGGCGAGGCATGCGGCGGCGGGTAGAAAGCCCTAAACCTAATCACTTTCGACCTGAAAGCCGAAGTGATGACCTTAGGGAGAAAGGCCGGATTGGGCTACAACTCCACCAGTCCGTCACCCTCTCCAAAGGACAGGCAAGACGCATGGACGGAGAGCGCACACAAGTCGCCCGTCCTCTTGGCAGACGCCAGCGCCAGCAAGAGAGCAGTCTTAAAAGCCACACACTCGGGACTCGCCTCCGACACCGGCTCAAAAGGCGGGGGCGACAGATCCCTGAGGACCACCCTGAGGTCCCAAACCGGGGGCGTTCTTTGAAGCGGGGGCCTCCTCCTGCGGGCCCCCCGCAAAAAATGTTTGACCAACGGATGGGAACGGGCCATGAAACCCCCGAAACCACCGTGACCCGAGGTAATGGCTGCCGCGAACACCGCCAGGGTACCGACAGCCCTCCCCTTGTCAAAGAGTTCCTGTAGGAATCCCAAGACTCCCTCCAAGGGGCAAAGCCTGGGATCCCAAGAGCGAGAGCCGCAACAGTCGCTGAAGAGCCTCCATCTGGTATTGTAGACTCTCACCCCCTGAATAGTCTCCACCACTGTCGGGGGGAGACGCAGGTCTACAAGGTTCCGCCTCTCAGCCTCCAGACCCAAAGTCTGCGGCCGATTACCGGACGAGAGTGCAGGCCCCCCCCCCTAGACTAGAGCCCCCGGCTCGTCCGGGAGGGCCCTAAGGCTCCGTCACCGCCATGCCCCTCAGGAACGGGAGCCACCGGGCATGTGGACTGTCCGGGGCCACCAGGATCACCGACCTCCCCTCCTGTTCGATCCTCCGCAGCAGGACCGGCAGGAGACAAACTGACGGGAGACAAACTGGCGGAAAAGCATATAACAGGCCCCCTGGCCACGGGTAATGAGCCAGGGCGTCCACCCCTAGGGGCGGCTCGTCCGCGGCCCTTAAGGCAAACCAGGACGGGCACTGTGCGCTCTCTGCACTGGCAAAAAGGTCGACCACTGGGCGGCCGAACCTCCGCCAGACTTCTGCAGCTAGGCCAGGGACCTGAGGCGCCGTGCGGGAACCCTGGGGGCCGCCAGCACCTCCCCGGCCAGACGGGTGACGTTCCTCTGTCTGTCTTCGGACAATGCAGCACGGAACGACACAGAGTCCAGCTGCAGGCCGAGATAAATCATTCGCTGAGCCGGCTGCAGCCTGCTCTTTTCTCTGTTTACCACAAAGCCCAGACGCTGTATGTGGGAAAGGACCCAGTGTGTGTGACTCACGGCCACTTCCCTGGACGGGGCCAGTATTAACCAATCGTCTATATAGTCCGTGTTGCGCACTGCACACCCTGCTCGTGGGGTTGCAGGCCTAGTGGGGCAACGTTATGGGCCCGGAAAGTAACATAAGCAGACACAACAGACATATTACGTACCCCCAAATGAGACTCAGACAAAGAGTACTGATTAAATGCCGGCCGGCTTTTATTAGCAAACCTTTTACCACCCCGGGCTCCTCTACTGTAGGGAGCCCGGCGGTGGCCACGCTGTTCCCTCGGGCCCCCCGTGAACCTGTCCGGACCCAGGGGTCTCGCCGAAGGGGGACGATGCATGGTGGAGCGTGGGTGGGGAGCTGAGCGCCTCCTGGGCGAGCGCTCCCTGCCTCTGTCCAGGCCCCGTGCAGCTTGGTGGGCCTCGCGCCTCGGCGCTTGGTGCGAAGCTAGCCTAGCCGAGTCCTTAGCCGCAGACTCCAGTCTGTTGACCAGGACCCTCATGTCCGGGCCGAAGAGGGACGTCTGGGACACGGGCAGATCCAGCAGCTGCCTCTTCTCTGCCTCCCTGACGTCTGCCACCCCAAGCCAGAGGTGCCTGGCCCCGACTTGGGCTGCAGCCATGGTGCGGCCACCATCCACGGCAAAAGCCTGGCTCATGTGCAGGAGAGCCGCGGAGGTGGTCCTCGCCTCTGTCAGGAGGTCTCCGCTGAGCGCCTGGCCAGCGGAGAGCGACCTATCCAGGGCCCCCGTGATAAAGGCCATATTGTTAGCCAACGCGACGACCTGTACCGCGTTGGCATAACACCTGTCCAGCATAGCCAAAGACATCCTGTCCCGCTCGGCAGGGAAGGAGAGGTCTGGCGCCGGGCCACACGGATGCGGAGGGCAGCAGAGCCATGCGGGCCGAGTCCTCGATGTCTGTGACACCACTGGACCAGGACCAGTCCTGCATGCTGCAGTACATGCCGTACCCCAGAGCAGGCCTCTTGGCTGCTAAGGGCTTTGGCCACTCACGTGTCGCGTAATGGACAATCGGGTCCATCCGCGGGCACAACGTGGGTTGCTTCCTCCTCCTCCCTCGAGTGGTGGCGCCCACCGAGGTGAAGTCCTCTACCGCCTGGTCCGGCTGCGGGGGTAGAGGGGCGTTCATGATGGCCGCCGCGGAGGAGTAGAGACGGGGCATGTGATCCAGGGGGAACCGGTCCGGCTCCCGGTTCTGCGACACCGCCTCGTCCAGGGTGAGCAGAGAGCCGTCCTCCGAACCCTCTCCCACGTCGCAGTCTCCCCATTCCGCAGGCACGGGAGGAAGGTCGAGTGGGGCCCAATCAATCTCAGACTCCTCCTCCTGAAAGGAGTCCGGACGAGGCGCTGTAGCACCGGAGAATGCAGGCCTGCGTTTGCTCTCCTCCCTGGGGAGAGCGAGACACGAGGTGCAGCTAGCGCTCACCGCCGCATGGCCCGAGCCGAGGCACATGAAGCAGCTGGAATGCTGGTCCGTGCGCTGGAGCCTGACCCGACACACCGAGCAACGATGACGTCCGACGCCGGAGGGCGAAGGGGAAATCGGACAAACATTCGAGTTAGACATCTCAGCAGACATGAAGGTAGATCTCAAAGGCGCCAGCGTGAAAGAGGGGGCTCGGTCCTTGTGCAGGGGCTTTTATAGAGGAGGGTCGCTAGTGATTGGAGCATTTATTATTTTTTGATCTCTCTGGCGTGTGACCTGGGGGTCACGTGATATCCCACTAGCGAAGTCCGCTAAGGGACGTAGCACCATGACGTAGAACCACCCGGTTACAAATGTATTGAAACTGCAT